CGCGGCCGCGCGATGATCGCTGTCAAGCAGTGGCCTCCAAATAAACGGCCGTAAACCCCCCCTCTCCCCACCGCCGCCGCCGCCGCCGCGATCGCCTCCGTATGTTCGGTTCCACGGCGTCGCGACGCGTCGGCACGCGTCGCCCGCTTCCGGCGTTGCGCCTTTTCCTGCTTTTTACGACGCTTTTTTGCTTCCAAGAGGTGCGGGCTGGACTGGTACTTATTAGGACTCTTTTTACAATTGTTCGGTCGATAACGTTTCTCTTCTTTGCCGTTTTCTTCACATTTTGTGCTTTTAATAGGGATGCGACAAACCTATTAAGTCAACCACACTTGGGTGTCTTATGTTTTTTTTTCTTTTTTACTGGTGATTGTATTAAAAAGGTTTTGTATGAGAAATTTATTTGATACTGACCTCATCGCAGAAATGATTTATGTTTGAACAATAAATGTTTCATCTTTCGCAGTAAAAACTCTAAAGTATGTTTTGTCTCAAATTAATCACAATTAATAATAATCGAATTTGATCAACAGTTAGCAGTAATTACGGGTGATTCAACACAATAACAAATTTAATGGCATGAAAATATCATAGGAAAAAACTTAGACATTTGTTCATTTATAAAAAATCTACTTCATGGGAATTATGACTGCGGGTAATAAACTGTCATAACATCAATTTCTAAAGGATTGCGTCACTTAAATCTGATGAAGAAAGGATTATATTTGGAAAAGTTCCTGACTCAAAATACGCTATATAACTTGTACCATTGGAAGTGACATTATTTTCAAATATCTCCCCCACGAAAAGCGAAATGTTTAGTTAGAAATGACAATCACAATGGTTGTTTAAAATCAATATCATAAAACTAAAAGTTCCCTCACAATTTGTTACCCATCTTCGTTCCTTCAAGGCACCAGACGTCGGACAGATTCTGGTCTACAAAGTGAATTTGCATGCGCCAGGATCAGGCTCCTAGCAAGACGAAAAGCTGGTGTCTGTGATTGGCGTCGGCACTACAAACAAACTTGGCGGGGGTGG